CCTATTATACTTCGCTTTCACAAACATCATGACCATTTCCCAAGATTTTGTTGTGTGTTATATGAGGCCATTGTCATTGTACATTGCCTGCCATGATCGTGCACCACATGCATGTCTCTCGTTGTAATCCGAGAAATATACCATTATTATTATTATTATTATTATTAACTGAATTATGGATGCGGAAGCACCACAGTACAGACAAGATATAATGAGTGACAGACAAGGGGGAGGGTTTCTGTAGTGGGAGGCAGCAGGTGCCCTAGCGACTCCCAAAATACAAGCCATCAGTTGTGTGGTTAAAATAGACAAAAGCGCATTGGCCGTCATGTGCGTCTATCGGGCTCCGCAGGCAAATCCAGCAGAATATCAGCAATTGACTACTCAGCTGCAATTATTCCGTGTTACGTAAAGGAGGTTGTTGTTAGTAAGGGACTTAAATATGCTAGAGATCAACTGAAATAGAGACAGAGCACCGGAAAGTGCCGGAATTAAACAGTTTCAAGATTGGCTACTTCAGCACGCATTATCACAACACATGCGACAAGCCACCCGGTTTAGAGCACATGACATGCCGGCCATACTGGATCTAGTGATCATGAGAACCGCTATAGATATAAGGACAATAATCCAGAAGGAACCCCCGGGAGGAAGTGATCATGTGGTCCGGCAACTAACGATAGAAAGTAGACACGCCAAACCAGCGGTCAAACAGGGGAGGCGATATGGCAAAATGAAGCTGGACAAACTGGCCAGAGCGGCGCAGGATATAAACTGGGTACCCAACTTAGCCGATGCATCTCTGGAATCCAGATGAAGCCACATTCAGGCAGGAATTCTCCGAATAACGGCCAGTTTTGCGCCTTTGTTTCCGGTAATAAAAAAGCAATTTCCTCCTCGGAGGAAGGCAGACATAGATAGGGCTATAACAATTCGTATAAGACGGTGGGCAGCCTATAAACTATATGGTGCCCACCAGTCGTGGAATGGTTAAAAACCAGCGCGCAACAATGCACAAAAAGTGCAAAAGGAGCTAAATACCAATTCGAGAGAAACTTGGCGCAAAACGTCAAGCGAGATTCTACATGTTTCTACGCTTATATCTAATCTAAGTGAAAAACTCGGGAAACGGTTGGTACTCTAGAATTGATGAACGGAGAATTACCAGTGAGCACGTATCCTGTGAAAGTTCTTCAAAAGGAAGTACAGAATCCTCAGATGGCAGATAACGTTTCATCACTCGAAGGTAACTGTACCATGCTCCCAATTACTGTGGAAATTCAGGCTGTGCAGCGGGAGTTAACCGGGCTAAATAGGTTCAAGGCGGTGGGNCAACGGAATTCACCCAGCGATTGTACA